TACTTAGTGGAAGCCTCATAGAAAGCGGCTCTGAAGAAGGCGAAATCCGCCGAAACGTCAGCTTAATCGTGAACAAAAATAGTAACACCTCGCGTTTGCTCAACAAAAATACGAAGAAAATCACTTGATCAATGCCGAGGTTAATAGAAAGTCGGTCGTGGCAGTTACTTGTAGTATCAGTTAAAGTTAAATTAATATGCGCATGTTTTGAATTATTTACAACAATGTTATGAACTGGTAAAAATAAACCAGCTTTAAATTGCTTAAGTAGAAGAAAAGCCTATAAACTGTTAAATGAAAATTTTCACTCAGCTTCCTTTATATCTGAAGCGAAGAGTAGGATTAATTTGGCACACCGATCACTCACTTTTTACATCGAATACCTCTGAGCAGCGCCAAAAGTCCGTCACATTCACCATCTATCGTTTTTCTCTGTGCACAGAGTCCTGTGCACGGATGGGCGTTGCAGACTTGATTTTCAACTGGTTCACCACTGTAATTGACATGATTTCTTTTTAAAAAACCATATACAAATTATTTTTATCAGTGGAAACATTCAATGGATGTCTATTGAGTGTTTTTACCCATCTCTAGAAAGAACGACAACGAATTTCGTTTCAGTATCTGCCATAATTGAAATCATGCGATCAGTCACTAGTCAAGAATCTCGGTCTTTTCAAGCATTTCAAGATGTTCCAAGACATCAACTTCGACACGCACTTTTGTGAAGCGATTTGTGTCTATGACGACAGATTCACGACATAAATGTCTGCTATTCTGATGTTTTAGCTAAAAAAAATACCAATGGTTTTGTACCTTAGAATAAACCCTGAATTGAAAAGAATGACCATAGATATGGTCAAGTCCCGACAAGAAAAAATACTTCTCCCTTTTTAGACTAAACATCAGAAAAATATGGTGTGCGCACAAAATAAACATTTTCAACGTCTGTTCTAGGCTCTGTCTCTTGACAGAAATATTACACGCGCGCATTACCATTGGTCATTGGCTTTTAGGAGGAGTGGTTTACAGCCGCAAACAACTGTTGTCGAATAGAGTGAAGCAGTGGATCGCATTTCACTCTTTTGAACATCGTCACCGTATTTTTCATACTCTTCACACAGGACTCATGCTGTCGCACGTCCATATTTATCAATACTTTAGAAAGTAACGATATCGAGCAAAGGAAAATAAGAGGAAAACAACACACGTACGAGCATGCTCCGTGTGGACAGACACGAGTCCGCATTCGTGAGCCACATGCTCCACAACTCGCTGTGCATGGTGTCCATGGGGTCCATGCTGCCCACTGACCGTTAACGGGCAGCGCATGAGCCCTTGCTTCAAAACCACGTCCACCACGATAGAAACTACGAAACAACACCACTAAATCCGTAGTTGCTGAACGTATACTGGTGTTCGGTGTACCGTAACAGCAATACCTGTAAATCAAAAAAACATCGACAACCAACGTAAAAAAGCCACTCGTGTGAAAAATCTTCTCGAGTAGCGAATATTCAACGTTTCCTTCAAGCTCTGTGAAATTTAAGAAAACAAATTTTGTTAAAAAAGCCACTGGAAAAAGAGACAACGGTCGAAAAAGAGGATAAATTTATTCTTGTGATTTCACTGCACTACTTGTTATTCAAATGATTCCAAATATGAAAAAATTTTTTTGGAAGCGAAAAAAGTCTTAGGAGTTAAAAGATAGTAATTGGTGTAGTGTAAGAATCAGGAGGCGGATAGCACACTGGTAGTGATATCCGTCATCATGAGCATGGTGCTAGCTCCATTCCGCTCCGGACCAACCAAGCCTCTCATCACTGCGGGATCGGGAAAACGGTACAAGACTTATCTGGAGGAAAAACACTGCAACCCAATTGGGAACGGTCCAGCCCGGCTATCTCAGGACTCCAGGAGAAATTGCTCGACCAGCATTCTACAACATTCAAGGTGAAATGAAAATCCTCAAACAGCAAAAAGCCACACGTAGAAGTTGGAGCATCTTCGTGGACAATGGATGCGAGGAAACGAATCGAATTCTGAGAAGTGCGGGGTTCCGCACAGTAAACGTGAAGACGAGTCATATAAAATAAAATAAAAAATAAAAAATAAAAAATAAATGTAAGAATCATTTTAACTTATTGCTAACGTTATTCTCAAACTAACTTTATACTACAGCCAGGAAGAACGAAAACTAACCTCATTCCTGTGTTGGCGAAATCGGTAGAATTTCGAACTTCAACATAATCCATACAAAGTGAATGCCGAACCTGAAAAATGGAAATGGTGAGAAGAAAAACTGAAAACGGAGGATTTGTAGAGATTCGGAATCTGAGTGTAGAAAAAGGAAGAACGGTGATGTTTGGCGAATAGAAAGCAATCGATATACATAAATAAGATAGAGGTCTCCTCATGCTAGATTTCTTCTTTCTTTGCTGTATCAGTACAGTGAAATAATTTTATTACAGAATAAATACTTTAACTTTAAATACTTTAACTAATACTAACTTACTTAATTACCTATAACTTACTTAACTTACTAACTTACTAACTACTAACTTAATACCTTAAAAAATTAACTCTGTTCGATTAGCCCACTAGTTGAAGGAATGGCGCACTAGAAAGATTCTAACTAGATCACCAAAAACTTGCCACGAATTCAGATCATAGGGCTACCTAAAGTGAAGACCATATGGGTTACTGCAGAAAAAACCATTCTGGATTAGCACTGAACATGCAAATGAGAGAATAAGATGACTTTGACACACAACTCACAACTCTCATACTGAACCCAAGTACATATCCGCCTACCTATATTGGGAACGGTTTCAAGAGAACAAAAAGAGTAGAAAAAGGGCTGGAGGTCGCATGACATGTGAAAGTGCGCCATTTAAGTGTCTAAGAAAGAAAATTACAGCTATTTCCTTTCACTAACGTGAAAGGTGCGAATTTTTTTTCCTTGATAACGACGTGAAAAACAACAAAACCGTGTTCAATTTCAAAGTGAACCCTCAATCCACCTCAAAGCCAAATTGTAGCCAAACCCTATAACCTGTATTAGACGACAGTAAGAAGATGACAAAGAAATAAAGTTTTTCAAGCCATAAATTTTCATTTATATGACAAAAGACGTCCATGAGCTGAATATGGTGTCCAGACATAAAAACCTGGAACAACCGTTACGCTAATCAGAGAATAGTCACAAATAACTCTTCACTATAGATAGTATGACAAATAGATTATGTTGCTGGTGACACTTTATAACGACACATCGATGTAAGCCATTTACGTCTCGCGTGATGGACCATGTGTTGAAATGTTAGCCTCCTGCTGATCGTCGAATAATTCGAGAGGGTGCTAGTAAAATTTTCGCTAGTCTCCGTCCTGCGTAAAAATAGCCCTTCATCTCTTTAGGAGCATTTTGTGTGTCATATTATATTTCCTTTCTGTGATCTTCGTGAACAGTTCTGAAGATCGTGCAGGTAATTTTTCTGTCGTGTATCTGACATATCGAATATTTAAGTGTCTAGCGGAACACGTGCGTCGGCTTTTCTTCAGACGCATCACGTGTTCCGCGCTTTCGAACAGATTTTCATTGACCAGACATGACATGAGATTTTGGAAGATAAAAGTGTTGAGACGACATGTCCATCCCTCCTTCATAGAGGTAATTTACAGTAAGGGATAAGTGATTTTACAAGACATCTCTAACCATTGCACTACACACTCTCTTTGCTAACAAAATAAAGATTTGATAGTCAATGCCGTTACGAAAAACCGGTGAAGAAGGCCCACGAACCTTACAGTACATCTCAAATTCGCCCACGAATTGCATTTCAACAATCTGTCCAGGTGGTGCTACAAGCAACCAGGAGCATTCCTGGCCTAAATGGCTATAGTCGCTATTCCTTTTATAAATGCATATGCAAAAGAAAAACACTTAAACAGGAAAACGTAGAACAAAAATAATGATACGAATGGTGAAAATGGTGAAATTCTTTGAATTCTCTGAAATGGTGAAATTTTTCGTTAAAACGACATAAAATGGGTTACCTTCTTTAAATTCACGTGGATATCCCGGACTGCTGAATTTCGTCCATTCACTGTTTAGCTTAAAATATTTGTATACGCACTACTACAATATTACCATATATTTTGTACAATTAATTCTATTTGGAATAGATACGCGCATTCGTACAATCAATATCTATCGAAATCCTTGAAGAAATCCTCGAAAATGAACAAATATCTCAGCAGGTGACAAAATATTTAACTCCGTAAGTAACGGACAGAATTACTTTTGTTCGTCAATAGGAATAAAGGGCACCCAGACCTAAATTTCAGTAACCTAATCTACTTGAAGAAACGACAAAGCTCTCGGCATTGAACAATTGTTGAGGGATGCACCATGCATTCGACTTCATTAAGTATCGTGGGAGGTAGTTGAATGCATATCTGGCCTTTACAATAAATTGCGGTGGCCTACCGATGTGTCGAGCCAGTGCTGCTATCCTTTCAGACAAGTCTGGTACCAATTTCCCAACCCCGGAGAGACGGAAGGTTCAGTGAGCCACGGGCGTGGGCATCGATCCTACATATGTGTGGCGTAGGGCCCCTCCGACCGCTGTGCCACATGCGCCCTTACCTAATTTACTTAATTATTTTAATTTCTTCAAATCAATTGCGTTCATTTAACCCATAACAGTGCGTGTTTGAGACACAAATTGATAGAAGTAATAGGTGTTTTTTTTGTTATTCCAAGCGATGATACCTATTGCTTTTAATGTACAACATTCATAGAAAATTTGTTTTTATCCGCTTTTTCCCTGATCGATATCTAAGGTTTTAGTGGAAGCATTTTTAAAATTTAGCCAATAAAATAACGAAGTAATAGGATAGTGGGTTTGTTTTGGAGGGAGGAGGTTTTCATTACTTAACGATACCTGAATTTTTCCACCGCATACAGCACCATAGCCCGGCATCACCTGTTCACAAAACTGTCCAGTGAAACCGTCTGGGCATCGACATCGATCACACCTTAAAAACTAGGGAAATGACAAGGATGTTAGAACAAAAGCAAACGAAAAAGCAATACTGAAATGATCGAAAAAGAGGCGAGAAAAAAAGCCCATTTCATAAATAGACATCGACTTTTGTAGTAAGGATGGTCCTATCACATAACTGGGTAAACGAACATAATTTGGATTAGGATTTCTTGGACTCGAAGGCCTTGTAAAGTGGACATCGTTAGCCAGTTTTATTCAGAAATGCCACTTTTCTTTTTAATTTTCCCTTATTACGTCCCGATAAAGAAATATCCTTGCAAGTGATTTCACGTTTCGTTTTCGGAGTGACCTGTCCCAGGAGGGCGTCGAAACCGCCAAAAAATTCGACAACAAGCTCAGTTCAAAATAAAAATATCTCATCACAAAGCCCGACAAGCTAACCATGGCTTACTTTTCTTCATTACTCACTAGCTACAAAAATAATCGTCTTCTTTAAACCTCGTTTTACGAGTCTCAACAGTTCTTTAATTCTCTTTTTTGTCTTACAGCCATGATGGTAGTCAGATTTGCAAGCAGTTTTGATTGTAAGGCAGGCGCAGGTCTTCATCGATTGGAGGATGATGGCAGCTTTGTCACTCCAGTTCTTCCCGGGCAGTTGCAAACACTTCGATTAGTCAAGAGAACTTCTCAAGGATGAGATATCAAGTCGAGTTCCTTCTCTGATAACAATGAAAATAAGGTTGATACTAAGACGTTAATGCTTACTGCGTTCTTCGAGCAAACGACACTAAATATGCTGCGTTGATGTGGAATAGAAAACCACAGTGATATCTTACGGGGTGTGTTCAAACAACTTGGACGACCAACAAGATTACCGGTGACTGAGTTGAACGGAATTTTCTTATATGACCCAACACCACACGTTGTGCAGGTTCCAGGACTTCTTTCATTCGACTCGTTTCTCCTCACATTCATCGTCTGTGGCCTTATGAAAGGGTTTCGCTTTAATGTTTCGGATTTTCTAACTTTTTATTTGCAGCCTAGTACAATTTTTTACTGCAGGGTATTATATGAAATACAACTCTAACTTGACATGTGCTCCCTAGAGAAATCTTGTTGACGGGTTATTGCTGATAGTGCTGATAGACAGAAAACTAGCTGAGAGACAGGCGAAACGAAGGACTCGCATATGAGCTGGTGAACGCGTTATCCCCCGGAAAGGGTACTAGTGCGTTCGTTTCCCACCGCAGACACCTTCGGTCCGGTGTTTTGCAAATATCTCAGTATCGGTTTGGTTTCGGCATTCTTTATGAATGTCATTGAAAGCTGATCGGACAGATTCACTTCGAAATTCTGGGGCAACCGCACCAGGACGTACTCAGGTTCCCTTCACAGGCAGTCACCAATCTTTCTGGCTTAGGAGAAGCTTTTACGGAACCAATGTGAGAGCAATTTCCCAGTCTCAATATAGATGGGAGGCACGACTAGCCCATCGCAGCGGCGAACCAGGGTTTTGAAGCATTATCGAGAAGCGTTTTCACTACTGGGCTATTCACGCCTCGAAATAGAACTGAATAGTTGATATGTCGAATTCCGGATTGATGGGTGATGTTCATGCTACTGTTCTCCATAGTGTAATATTTAGTTAAAACTTTCAAAATTAACAACTTTGACTGATTGATTAACTTTAGTTAAAATTAATAACGAAAGATCCATATTCTCCTTATTTTCTTAATCACGAAGAGATGCAACTAAAATATTCTACAAAAAAAACCCAGTCCTAAAAAGTTTACTTCATGCGAAAAATTTTATGTTTCAGCGCAGAGTCATATACCGCTCGCATATAGTGCTAGTTGGTTGTGTCGACTTCGTGATTATTCTGCCTCAAGCATGAACATAACACCCTTTCTGGATAATACTCGTTTATCCGGAATCGATTGGAACTGACTGTTGTTAGGAAGCACTGATTTTATCCTTAACGAACATAAAAATAACCGAAAAAATATGATATTGATAGCAAATATCAATATCCTTATAAAAAATCGTAGTATTTTTTTCTGTTTTTATATGACCCGATTTCAGATTTACTGTGCGGAACCGAGCACTTTTAACATTCGACTGGATTCCTTGCATCCATCATCCACTAAGGTTTTCCAACTTTTACGCGCGACTTCGGCTGAGGATTTCCAATTCGTCTTGAATATCGTAGAATATTGCTCGAATCGGGTCTCTCTCGAGTCCTGGGATAGCATGGCTGTAGCGTTCCCAGTTGGATTGCAGAGACTGATTTTTTTTCCCGCACAACTTCGGTGCTGATCTTCCGACCCCGAGTGGATGAGGGGCGTGGTGAAGCCAATGTGGGAACGGAGTAGCACCGTGTCATGATGACCGGCATCACTACCACTGTGCTTTCCACTCCCTAATTCTAACCCAATTCGTAACAGGAAGATGTAACTTCATATTCACATAACATCACAAAGTTTTTATAGTATTCTATGTTTCAAACTTTTTATTGCAGATCGATGCATCAAAAAACTAAAATTAGCTGTTCTTCGCTTAATCTACACTTACTCTCTTTCACCTTAAAACGCTGATTTTGATCGATTATGAAACTGACCTCCTTGGATCCGTATATCCACCGCGTTGACATGGTAATTTTCGTGAACAAACATTACTACAGTAAATTTTATTCATTAGTCGAATGTCGTTAAATGATAACTGATCGCGTTGTCCTGGAAAAAAAAGGATAAAAAAACTTAAAAATTGCAAAAGTAAGCAAAAATAGAGCAAAAAAGCAAAAAATTTGAAAATGATAAATAGACTGTGGACGCTTTGAAATCATAGATATAAATCTGATTTCATTTCGGTCAAAAAAGAAAGACGAAAAAGCAATCTAATGGGTTAATATCAACGGCAATGGAAAGTATGGGTATCGATCAATTCAGCTGCACTTCATTAAAAATTCGAGTTAATTTTGAACTCTAGCGAAAATCGTAACACTTCGACACATAGACCGTGATTTTTTTTCAAATTTTCAGGAAACCGTATCAATTTCTTCGTTGTGCTCGATCGAATTGGTCTGGATCCAATTTTTACGCGATGTCGTCGGTGTTATTGTTCATGTGTTCGTTTCAGGATTAAACTGTACAGAATCACACAAAACCTCAGCTGCAGGTCAGAGTGACCCACAAGACCTGGTCAGATTAGTAAACTCCACTGCAACAAATCATCAAACGCTCAAAATTTTCTCATACTTTCGTCCTTGGTTTCTTGATATGGAGTGATTGAAATTCCACGAACAAACAAAACTTTACGATAAAACTGGTTCGAAGCGAATCACATAAATTCATTTGCAAGACATAACAACAATTTGCCGGCAAAACTTATGATAAGGAAACAATACACTAGCGAAATTTCGTTGAATATTCAAAGAAATCGCAAATTTTCAGCGCCATTAACCCTGTGCGTTCGAAAGTGTACAATTTTCAAATATTGAGTTGAGCTTCATTTAAACTTTCTCCGCCGCTGTTTTCAACATCGAGTCGTGCCGAAGTTTATAAAACGAAAGCGACTTCACGAGATATGCGGTCAACCAGAGGGCAGCCAACAAGTACGAGGCATCGAAATGGAACTACTTCGAGCTGCACTACGAAGCAAGCAGAACGAGATGTTTGCCAGAATGAAGAAGTGTGCAACGAAGGAACATTTTTGTGTTTTTTTTTTGTGAAGCTGTATTTGGAGGATTGTCTTTGGAGGAGGATAGTTGGTGGGTCAATATTGATATGCGATTTTATTAGATCTAATGCCAAAATAACCTTACAACGGAAATTCGAAAAACTTTTGGGTAATTCACAGGTCTCAGCTTCAAGAAACAACCGCAAATGAATTCCTTACGCTTCTGATAATAGTCAAAATGGAGTTGATAATGCAGCAAGAAAATCTAGGGTCACCGTGATTGGGGGCATAACAATACATGAGAATGCGCGCTCGCTATTAGAATTGTGCCCAAGTTTTGCACCATCACAGCTCATTTCTAAAACGACCCTGCGTAGGATAGCAAGCAACCTCTATGAGCTTCAAGATCGACTCCGCTATCCGGCCAAGCAAGAAACATCAAATAGAGATAAAAATCAAGAGGCGGCGACACTACCACCATCTCCTTTCCCAAAAACGTTCTTTAGACAGCAGAACCCTAACGATGGAGTTGACATAAAATTCCACATGTTTTCGGAAGGCGTTCTCAAGACCCTTGATCACTACCGCGATAGAAAGTTTATCGCTAACCTTACAGCCGCACAAAAATGTGGCATGCGAGAAACTAGAGAATTAATAAACTCGAAAACAATAAGATTGTCTGTTAGTGATAAGGGCGAGAGTTCGTAGTTATCCCTCGCCAGCTGGATGTTGAGATAACAGAGGAACATCTTAGTGATGCTGCTCTCTATCGCCCATCCTCTTAAAAGGAATATAAAAGCCAATACCGAAAGCTAAACAATCAGTGGGTCTCAGTGTGGCAAAGGCTGCGGGTTTAAAATCATCGGTTATTTCGCACTTTAAAATCGATAGAGCAACATGTTTCGTCCTATACCTACTTATTAAAACACATAAGTTGGTATCACCTGATGATCATGCGTCAACCAATCCGTCATCATTTAAGGTTAGACCGATCATCAGCTGTGTAGACAGGCTAACGGATGGAATAACCTGGTTTTTAAGCCTGATACTTACCCAGTTGCTTAACCACATTCCAGCTCACCTCACAAACACCCAAATGTTCCTAGAACGTCTACGTAACGCGTCTCCTAATAACGCGTACGTGATGGAGTCTTTCAACGTTACCGCACTGTACACCAACGTGTCGAATGACTCCGCAATGCAAGCCATCTTCGAACTTCTTTTTGAACATGAAGGAAGAATAAATATGCATGGTTTGTCCATCCAGCAGCTAATGGCTCTCTTAAAGGAATGCCTAAACTGCTCGATTTTCAGATGGTCCGGGAAATATTTCGCGCAAATAAGGGGGTTGGCAATGGGACAGCGATTGGCACCAAGCCTTGCCATTATGTTCATGTCTAAGATAGAAGCCCCTGTTCTCGATCTCCGGCCACTACTCTACTGAAGATATGTAGATGATTGTTTTGTCGTCTTCTCTACGCAGGAGGAGATGGACAAATGCTTCGAATTATTAAACGAGCAGTCCGAGTGCATAAAGTTCACCCGGGAGAAACCGAGAAAAAACTGGTTTCCGTTTTTGGACGTTCAAATAAACCTATCAAGTAGCGGTTACCTGACAAAGTGGTATCGAAAGCCAAGTAACAAGAACATTCTTGTTCATTTCCTTTCTTCCCACCCTTCACACACAAAGAGGACGATTGTGAGAAACATGTTTCGAACAGCCACCTCTGTATGCACTACCAGGGAACTAAAGAAGGAATCGTGCGACTTGGCTCGGCAAATAGCCATCTCCAATGGCTACGAAATAGTAACCCCACGAGATAAGTTTAGAAGGAGAGCGACGTGCCCACGCGAAACACTCGGCCAAAAGAAAGTCCCGTTTATGTTGCCTTTTATAAGCGATGAAGTAAGCGTAGCTATAAAACGATGCTTAAGAAGGGCAGGTCTAGAGGAATCGGTAGCGATAGTTGAAATAGCACCGGCTACTCTAAGTAGTCAATTAATTCGTAACCGTCTGTATGACCGTCTGTGTGGAACAACAAATTGCGTAATTTTCTCTTACGGTAGGGACGGTGATTGCATGAGTTCAGGTACGATATACCCGATCTCTTGTAATAATTGCGGAGATGAATATATCGGCGAAACGGGCAGACCTTTGTGTATCCGTATAAAAGAACGCCTAGATGGCAAACGAAAACTAAGACGAAGCATCCCACTAGGCACGCATAAGATACAAAAGCGCAGCGGGGACAATTTTTGAAGTAAAACTCAATATCCTAGCACAGGAGTCTAAAACACCAGAGCGAAAACTCCTTGAGGCTTTTGGGATAAATAATGCTAAAAACCCTACAATGAATAGCATGGACGAATGCCCGGAGGTCATACGCGACCTGATCCCGTACGTTCGCATCGATTTTTGATGTGGGATGGTGCAGTCCTCAACCATATGCGACTATAATCAGGTGTTCTAAACTTCCTCATTGGAAGTCACGAAAAAGCGGCTCTGAAGAAGGCGATACTGCCGAAACGTCAGCTAGCGTTGTATTGTATTGTGTTTTTCTATGGAAGTAAATGTATGCTGTTTAAAAACCTCGCGATTGCTGAACAAGAAAACGAGGCCTTTCATTTAAAATTCACTTTTCCTACTATCGCCTTGTCTTGTATTTGTATTCAAAAATATCTTTTTTAGTGAATGATAGCAGTAGGTTTTTCTACTGCACTCAGATTAGGAAAAACAATCAAGGATAATATATCCTAATTCTAAAATTCCTCTCAACGCTTTACCGCCTCATCGTGACTCGGAGGTATTCCTGGTGTGTCAGACTGCGATGTACAGCGGGGAATTCATCCTCTGGCAAGATCTCTTAAGCTGAGAATGAGTCCGGCGTTTCCATCATGAAGCTTAGCTAAGAGTACACCAGTACCAGGATCGACCACCATTCTGGTATCAAACTAGTTGCATTGTGGCAAATTTCCGTTTGTTCCAAAAACACTGCCACTGCCTGTAGTGGTGACAGCCTGAGGCCAACCTTGGCCAATCTAACCTCGGGATTTCAGGGAACCACAATGGCTAAGCCAGCAAGTCTCCAAAAAAAAATGGAGATTATGCTGGGGCCCGCACAACTAATGGACACAGGCCATCCAAATATCCAAGTAATTCTTTAATTTTAAATGTCGTAGAAAATTTCGTTTAGTCGATTATTGGAAGCTAATCGAATATTAAGACAAGTAACTTTTCTAAAATCACAAACATAGTTATCTTAAGATGATCGGAAGGCAACGCAGTTGAATAAAATCTACAGAATACAGAAAAAGGGAAGGAAAAAGAGGGGAAGACGGAAAGAAAACAAGATAACTCTCATCCAAAAGTTTATACAAAGGTGGTTTACCTCAATAATACCTCTATCTAAAGATTCTATTAGAACTCGCAAGAAGTACTGTAGGAAATCGTTTGAAATATCTTAAGAAACACGGTAGATATTGAATAACTAGTTCTTTATTTTCAATTTCTGAAAATAAAACTACGAATAGGATTCATTGGAATCATAGAGGGTCGGAAATATCTCATGATGTTCTATTCAGAACTGAATTTGCAGAGCATATGAAGCTTCCCATCGCGTATTGAGCGCTTCTTCAGAGAAAAAAAAGTGAAAAAGGAAAAAGAAACAATAACGAGAATGAAAAAGTAACAAAAAAAAAAACGAAAAAACCATCACTCTATCGCTGTCAATGTAATCACTTACCAATAGTCTTCTGATAATCAGTGACGAATGTGCTGATTGTGTAAAGATCATCGTAACGAGAGAATGCTTTGCTCCTTCAAAGAAAAACATTTGAATTCACGTTTCCCTTTTAGAAACACTCATAGTTCAGAAGGATCAAAACGAAGTTCTTTCCCGCCGAAATCTATGAAAGGAAGAAATCAGTTCGTAGATGAAGGATATCACTTAGGAAAGGAATTTTAAATCCAGTTAGTATTCTTAACTTTTTTATTTACTGCCCATTCTTTTTAATGGCAGGGTATGTTGCGAAATATGACTTCTATAATGTTGAGATATTTGCAAAACTCCCCGGAAAGGATAATTGCGCGTTCGTTCCCCCACCGCAGACACCTGTGGTCCGGAGTTTTGCAAATACCAGTTAGTAGTCAACAAAAAAAAAAACCAGGGCTATTTCATACGAAACATTCCCTTACAGTTGGGTTTGAAGAATATATTATATTGAAGACCTGCTGTGTCCCAATTAAACTGATTATTCAACAACAGCTCTTGGAATGAACTGGAAAGCTTAAAGCTTACGAAGAAAATAATATAATTAACTGAGATATACCCTTGAATGAGAAGGAAATAAAGGATCAAAAACCATAAACACCCAATTCATAGTTTTAAGGGGCACAACTGGAGACTTTCTGGTAACTTCGCGCTCTAAATAACATATCCTTTTTGTACCAAACGTCATCGCATGACTTTACGCCAAACTTCTGATTGGTCACTTTCGTTACTGCGAAAAATGCGTTATTCATTCAGTTCTTAAGAAATTATAAAGTTCATCTTTTTTCATCTCATCTCTTTTTCATAAAGTTCATCTTTTGTCTTTCATCCAAAAATTATATAAGCGGTCATCAGCCAGCAGACTAAAACAAATGAGTGAAATGACAATGTATAAGTTCTATCTACTGACCATTATTCTTTTTCCCAGCAGAGTATTATGTGAGATACAGCCACAATGGTGCTGACATATTTGCAAAACTTGCACGCCATGTCAAATTGAACCACCATTACCCTTTCCGTGTGTTCAAGTGTTGCGCACGGCATCACTGAGGTACTCTTTCACTATTTATACCAGCCATTAGCAATCACCCGTCAACGGGAATGATCTGCGAAGCCCGAATCAGCAACAAACCTACTTAAGCTGAGCTGATGGACCACTAGGAGGCAAAGATTGGTTGAGAGAAAGGCAGAACGAGGGCAGTGATCAGTGGCGCCGTGCGTAACACGTGAGCCCCCCGAAAGAGTAGTCGCAGTTTGATCCGGTCTGGTGTCCAAAGTTTTGCAAATATATCAGCAACATTATGGTTATATTTCAAATAAGTTAAGTTGCGTTTTAGACCGAAGTTCTTGTCTAAAAAATAATACAACGATTTCAATCCAAATTCTCCTAGATGATACTGGAAAAATTGTGAGAAGGATCAACTCTGCCATCTGCCCCAAAATAGACCGATTCACTCTCACCTATAATGCATAATGCTACCGTAGTCGTAAGGTACTCCTCCATTGTCGACATCGTCTGGATCTTCTTTCAAGAATTGACCTTTAGAATCCTAAAAACTAATTTCTGCTACGGATTTTAAGAAAGTGTACACTAACCACTGCGATGCTGAGATACTTACAAAACTTGGACCCCAGGCCGGATGGAACCGCAATTACCCTTTCCAGGAGCTCATGTGTAATGCACGGCATCGCGGAGGGCCTCGTTTACCCTATCTCAGCCAGTTTTCTACCTAAACGTTACCTGATAGCACCGTTAGAGCAAAAAAAAATGGTTGAGAGAAAGGCAAAGCAAGGGCCTCACTAGTGCCGTGCGTAACACATGAGCCCCCGAAAAGAGTAATCGCGGTTACATCTGCCCTGAGGTCCAAGTTTTGAAGAAATCTTAGCATCATGGTGGTTGTATTTCACAAAATCCCGCGCCGTGAAAAATCATAAAAGGCAGTAAATAAAAAAGTTAACAAATGTACAGCACTTTTTCCTTCGTCCCGATACTCATAGCGACACCGATTTTCCACGAAACCATGATGACACCAAGAAATCGGTTATATTTTCTGTCGGTCTAGAAGTCTTTACACGGTTTTATTTCGCGATGCTTAAGTTATTAGATGATTTCCTAACGACCGTGTTCGATTCGATAACAACTAGAGTGATGTAAGGCGCATCACCTTCTTATACTAATTAAAGATGATGCTTTCGATAAGAACTGTCGGTAGACCGTTATAGCCCCTCCCCTCCCCCACCTACCCCCCAAAAAAGTGTGAACAAATTCATCATTTCTTCGCTGAAATAGAATAATAATGGGAAAGATTTTGGGAAAAACAGCTAAAACACGATAAAGTTACATTATTCAAATAGAAGCACTAATAAAGGATAAATATGTGCTGAACATTTTTCAGTACCCCGATATGTCGGTATTATTTCAGTATTATTTTATTATCACCCTATCATATTATCACATAGATACACTTACTTTGTCAATGTTCTCCCATCGAACACTCACGAATTGGTCTCGATCCGGACGCGACTGTTCGTGCCAAAATCCGAGCGCATGTGCCACTTCGTGTGCGATCACACCAAGCTGCAAGTCTACGTCTGCGTTCAGATTATTTCCGTAGCACTAGCGCCGAATAATATTAAAATCAGATTAAAAGAACTAGTTAGGAAGTTAAGTTATTACCGGCACGTGTGTAGCGCTGTGGTGCCTTGCAATACAGCCGTGGTCTTTGGTTCGCTCCTGCACCCCTGATTCACGAAATTTTGCGTTCTTTTGGGGTAGCAGTATTGGTACCAGACTTGCCTGGGAGGACAGCATTGACTTTATATGTCTACAGACCACCGCAAGGTAATTAAATAGGGCATGCTCTCAACCACCTCTAACGCTACTTGATGAATGGGAATACAAGGTGCATCATTCAGTGGTTGACAAGCGCCGATAGCTTTATCCTTATTTTTGACTGACACCAGATATGGGAAGGGCAGCGGTTACAGATACTGCACAACCAAGACATGGTTGATGGTTCGACGTTACCCTAATGCAACGAAGCTTAAAACCTTCCGAGATCGGCAAATTGACACCAAAATTGTCTAGGAAAGAATCCCTCCAATTCGCAAAGGCTAGCGGCTACCTGTTGTGAACGCCTGTGAAAGCCTAAGCAGAGCCATCTCAGGAACCCAGAAAGATGTACGTTCAGTTAGCATTAAACCATATTTATGAAGAGGAAGAATAAGAGGAAATCCTCAAGTAAGAGCCAAATCTACATGCAAATCCAAAGACGTTTGTGGAAGGTGAAATCAAGACCAAAAATCGAATGAGAAAATGCTAGGAGTGGCAAAATGTGTGAATATAGCTCATACGAAGAAACAAATGAATAAATATTAATATTAGACCCTGACTCAGTTAGTTGACAAGATGACCGCCACTTGTCTAGCAGATACTCTTGAACATTAAACAGGAAGTCGCCATATACTTCCACAAGAATGCAGCTTGATTCACGATCAGGAGGTGGGCCACTTGTCTCTGTCTTAGCCGATTGACAAGTATTTCCGGTATAGAGTAACCACGTTCACGCATGCGAATGTGGGATATGGTTGCGTGCGTAAACTGGGGATTGTGCTATTCATCCTGATGCTACCAAAATTCTTCTACGATAGGTCTTCCTCATTCACATTTTGTCCCCCATGTTGCTTAACAGCTACATTTAAAAATTTTCCATTTCTTTCTAACATAATCTAACCGCTTGTTTCCCTATCTTTTCCTCAATCTTTCTCACACTCTTTGTCTCTCTAAAATTTCCGCATGCATCCTTGTAGTGTAAATGAAATGAAAAATGGAAGAAAATTCGACAGGACACTAACCCGGATACATTCAGGTGCAAGTGATACCAACTGTTCTTCGGCGAGTGGATGCCGTCCTACGTTGCTTGCACATCCATCGACATCGGTGAACACTGTGAACGAACAATCAACGTCAAAATTTTGAATATAAAAGAATAGAAAGAAAATGTCAGGAAATCAACATCGTCCTAAAAAGTGGTGATTGGAAGCGTGCGAGCAGAATATTCGATTCATTCAAACACTCATATTCTTATGTTACACAGTCTAAGAAGCATCTCATACGCGATCTGGTATGCTTTAGAAATAAACCTAACAAAGCCTATGCTAAGGTTTATGTTCGATCGCTCACTAAACCTACGTTTCAAACCAAGCATTCCCTTACATTAAACACAGCTAAACTTCCCAATTCCCCACTAAACCTACATTTCAAACCAAGCATTGCCTTACGTTAAACACAGCCAAGCTTCCCAATTCATTTTACTGCTGAATTGTACAGCTGAAAAAGATAAACGTATGATTTGCCCTGAAAGTACCTTATGCAAGAGCTTAAAGCTTAGCTACAACCATAGGACTAAGCCCTTAAACTGAATTCAGAAGCTAAGCTTAGACTCAAGCTCGATTATGATTTTGACAGTGGGATAAGCATTAAACACAGAGTTTAAAAGGCACTGCATTCGGCTTTTTTACCAACAATAATCTTTCCGAACCTTTTTGGATAAACCAATGAAGAAATGTGGTCGAAGTAGTACACTCATCCTATGGTAAGCAATAGATGATGTACCAAACAGCTTCATGAAGCGGATAATCATTAGTTCACTGTTGAAATCAATCAGAAGCTGGACGTGTTCACATATTTTCTTATTCCAGATTGATTACGGTCAGTATTTAGCACTTGGAGAAAACTTAATGAATGACCTTTTTCGGATTCTTCTCATGGATGACGTTTATATGAACTCGAAGGACTAGAAAATAAGAATATCCAGATGTTATCACTAAAGAGATACCAGTACCACAACTCATCCAAAAAACTGCGGAGCTCCTCACTACAGATTAGGATATTATCCGAATATATGAGGAGTATTTCTCTGTAACATCAAATGTCCAAATTTATGCCAAGATGAAGAAATATGCGATGAACGGTAAATAGAAAATCATGCTATCGATTGAAAAGGATTAATTTCGCCCAGAATTCGCATGGTTAAGTGATCAAGTTAAGCATGTATAGACAATGGCTTCGAAGCTTTCGAAGCTGCCACTAGGAATGCATTCATTGCTTGCTTACAGTTTACCTGTTTAATGTTGGACTTAGAACTTCAAGAATTTGCGTTCTCAAGTTTTGTGCGTGGTTCGATACTGTCCCGAACTTAATTGTCCCCCATACACTCGAGCTCGAGAAATTTGTACCAGACCTGTCTGGAATCAACTCCAGTTCAACCCTGCAATCCATGTGGGAACATCTTAACACAAGCATCCCAGGATTAAAGGAAAAATTGATTCTACCAGCATCCAACGAGATTCATTTCGAAGACGGAAATCGTTAAGAAGCAATCGAACCCACGCGTAAAAGTTTGAAGACCTTCGTGAACGATAGGGTATGAATGGAATGCAGGAAGTGCTGCACAGTAGATGTCACCACGGGTCAAGTGGAAATAAGAAATGTTGAATTAAATGCGTCATTACTCGTCCGCTGTCGCCTCATGACCTCGTGTACCAAAAAAGAAGTTGCTCTCGTTAGGAAATCAGTTTCTTCTTTACCAACACTTTAAACGAACGAGCTTATAGTGGTATCAGTGAAACGGGTTTAAACTGAAATCTTCAAAAAACTTTCTCACTTAATGCAAGAACCTTACTGTAAAGCCAAGGAATCAAATCATGGACTATGGAACAATGAAGTCATATATCACTTTCTCCGAACGGATCCAGTTTCTTTTCTGCTACTCCTGACAGTTTCCATTCATAGAAACATACCAATACGATTTCCACTGTTTGCGTTGTCATTACGAACGAAATTCAAGCAAGTGATATTATGCCAATGTTCGAGCGCCAATTCGATGATTCGTTGTTCACGAGAAGCTGAAAGTAAGCTCATTAACGATCAGATCTTCGCCTATTACACTTCCGATAAGCCACTGATCGCTTCAAACTTCTGGTAACATATGAGGTAAGTGGTGAACACCCCCATGGGGTGGTTTAATTCATATGTATAATTCATCCGAGATTTATTACATCCCACAGATTACTTGTCTATCCACAGTCGTTCTTCTGTTGCCAAATCGTTGAAGGTAGCATCTACAAAACCCACTCACTGACAGACAAGTGGTCGCTTCACGGATACCGTGTATACACATACATACATACATACATACATACACACATACATACATACATACATACATACATACATACACACAAACATACATACATACATACATGCATACATACACACACATACATACATACATACTCAAGCAAACACACACAAATATGCACAATCTACCAAATTCATAAATAAATACATGCGCACACACATACATTCATGTGTATATGCATACAAATACACACACACTAGGAAGTACATACATAAGCATTATATATTTATTTACGTGCATATTATACTCGCATACATCCATATTATACATACATACATATATATATATATATACATGTACATATATACATAGATATTCACATATATATGTATACGTATGCATATACATATATATGACGCAAACAAGAGAGCGGTAGCCATTAACACGCAAAAACTCACTATGGGATCCGTCGAAGCCGTAAACAATAGGACGTGTCGGATCCCACCGTCGAAGACTCGAGCCGATGAATTTTCGTTTGACGCGTCGACTACCAGCCCTCAGCGCATTCTCGTAGATTTCTTTCGCTTGTTCAGGAAATAAAATAATATCACCTGTAAATAACAAATATTGTAAAATCTTTCCGTAAAATGAGTAGATCATCTCTAATTCCCACGTTTTCATCTGAAAGTTTAGCTAAAACTAAGACTATGCTATAGTAAAGTCAAGCCAGCTATCCAGAGCCATGATCTCACCAAGAATAATATAGACATACAACACCATATCAATAATTAGATCCTAGTTCCAACACCTGAACATTTACCTTCAAAATGTCGTCCATACTCTTCAGGGTTCAGTAGTTCTCCTTCAATGTCATCCCGCATCCGCTTACTCCATTTCGCCAACTCGACATCTGACTGCAACGAAGTGTGGTAGAAATATCACTTAGAAGAATTCATGAACGAAATTTTCATATCTTCTAGAGTTCCACGAGCTGCTTAAAAGGCATCCTAAACGCGGCCTGCCTTAGTACCCGAGTCTTGCCTTTTTTAATGTGTCAAAGATTGACATAAAACAGTACATTAGAGACAGGTTGGAGCCACCGTGATGAGAAATTTCTTTGCCTACTTTGGGAGAAGCCGACAAGCTCTTCGTGCGTATGTCCATCACTGCAGAGCCCACTGTGTTCTCAGTGGATACTCTTTCGCCCCAAAGACCAACATAAATAAAGTGCTTCGTAAAGTAACAGCAAAGCTCTTTATGTCAATCGAGTGGTCCGAAACCTATTAGATAACCAAACATGGAACAGCAATAAATGGAAAATTTGGAAGCACACGTTCCAGCTTAATCGTACTCGGTGGTTAACATGACTTTACGATTAGAAGCTGTATTATGAAAGCTCATTTTTTTATGCACAACACGTCCGCTCCCCTTTCATACGTTCTTTCGGCCGCTAGCCAAACTCCTTGTGTCATAACGAATAAAATTAGCAAGCCTGACCGTCTCCTGCTTGTATTCAAGTAACTAAGATATGAGCAAATGTCGGAACTTCAGCTGCACTTCGAATCCGCCATTACTCTTCTCGAGAGTTCATGTGCTATCCCATCACACCGTGCTCAGCTCTTGTTTTGCTGTTCTCTCCACACATTTTTTTACTCTATCGGTACTATCAGCAAACATCCGTCAAAGGTGAGCATGAATCGGCATTGAACCGAGTTAGGCTGAAGCTCCAGTCGTAATCACAATATCTTAACTTTTAATTACTGCGTACTATTTACTGATAGCACCGTTGGAGTAAAAAATTGGCAGAAAGGAAGGTAAACCAAGGTCCCGGTTGGTGCTGTGGATAGGACGCGAGGCCCCTAAACGGTAATCGAGGGTTCGAAGCCCACATGGGGCTCCGAGTTTTACCCATATCTCAGCATCCTCGTGGTTGTATTTCAAATGGTCCGAACCACGAAAAAAGAATCGGCAGTAAATAAAAGTTAGGATGTATTCAAGTGAATGTTCAAATTCTCGTCACTTGAGGGCGACAGGAACACAGTCTCTTGGTCAGCTGTGTGAAACGGTTCAGCATATAGTACAGTCATTCTAGGAAGTCTTAAGAGTAGGCATATGAGGATCCAATGGCTATCAGTACACTCGACACTCGGCGCATTTTAACCATTCATACCGACATCCCACAACAACGGACTTACAGTCAGTACTAAGTTCTATCACCCTAGGGATTGCATCAAAAGTGTAATTTATACGTAACGAGGCTAATTTTTCTGCAATGATGATCTCTGGCTGGAGAGATGGTTAAGCGTCAAAAGAGAAACAATAAAAGCGGGTCACACTTCTTTGGTATAGAGTGGCATTAAAAGTAATCCCTACCTTTATGGAAAAGCTTCAGTAAAAACATAATTTATGTCCGTCATTCACGAATAAAAAGGAAAGATATGGGTAAGGCGCTGAGGCAAAACAAGAAGTTTTCGCTAATCATCACAGTACTGGAACACTAGACAACTTTGTAGACAGATAAGATTTAGTTCTACTAGAAGCAAGCTGAATCAAAGACCTTGTGATTTAAGAAAATAAATCAGAATAAAAAGCGAAAAGATTGAAACAGTGAAACAACAGAATCAAACAAAAGAATATGTTCTGCCATTTGTTCTTTCCTAACGAATGTACGCTTTACTGTGGTCTCGGCTTTCAGCTCATCATCAGATCAACAACTGACTATATCAGTTCCTGAATAGGATGGATGGTCGGCGACCGATCATCAAATAGTTAAGTTTCAACTTAGACCGTTGAAATTAAACAGTTCGAATGGGAATGTCTCTATTCCATTTTGTAAACCACTTCAAAAGAAAATAGAAGTAGAATTGTTTGTTTGTCTTTCTCTCTTGGAGTAATATAATCGAATCAGTGGAATCAAAAGAGAAAAATTGACTGATCAATGAGAAGGGGTAAAGAGAGTGACGGCGACGGGAAGAATGAAAGGGAGAGGGAAAAAGAAGGAAAGTGAAATAAAGTGTTAGAAGGAGAAGCAAAGTGAAAGAAAGAGGGAAAGGGAGAGTGAAAGAGAACGGAAGAACAAGGAAAGGATGAAACAAAGGAAGTTAAAAATGAAAGAAAATGGATGAAAGCCTTAAGAAACTGGAAATCTGGGAGAGTTCTAGCTATGATATTTTCCAGACCGTCAGATTTCAGTAAGATTTTGTTGTGTAGTTTCAGACCCAACATAGAGAAAAAAATTACTTCACACCATTTGTTTCAGGGAATTCTTTATATTTAGCCAAAAGAAGTCAGTCATCAATTTTTTGCTTCGAAAAGTTCAATGAACAATGTACGAAAACCATAACCACACACGAGCATAACAACACAAAAGCACATCTGAGGCACACATGACTCACACCGTCATGAAAGTGTGTTGAGTGCAATCGAATAAGTTTCGAATGAGTTGAAAGTGTAGAAAACGAGATACACGGCGATCATGGGGCAATGGCAATTTGCACATTTTCGAATCGAGCAACATTTTCGATTTCGATTAAGCAATAAATCGAACACGTTTATTGATCGTATCGATTTTATCTGGCCTATTTCACCATTCATTCATTTTTTCGTAGCGTTATAATTTCGTCTGAACTTTGGGATTATAACCAATCGATCTTTGTGAGCACCCATTATTCTTTTAAAAAGACCTTCCACAATAATAGAAACCTCCTATTAGTCCATCACAGGAAATGTAAGGTTTCAATAATAACATTGAAAATTTTTCACGACAGCGACTTGTGTGAAATACAACCACATTGATGCTGAGATGCTTGCAAAATTCCGGACCACAGGTGTCTGTGGTGGAAATCGAAGGCGATACTATCCTTTCCGGGTGCTAAAGTCTTCACCACCACACCAGGAAGGTCTCCTTCGATTCGCTTTTCTCTCACCTATATTACATGTCTATCACTTCAGAAAATCCATTTAGCAAAAGAAAAACTGCAGTTTAAAGAAAAACTTGTTAATTAGATATAACAGAAAAACCGGCCGAGAGAAAGGCAAAGCGAAGGACTCGCGCAGTGTGGTGATGAACGCGTTAACCTCCAGAAAGCGCAAAGGCGTGTTCGATCCCCATCACAAACACCTGAAGTACGGAGCTTTGCAAATATCTCAGCATCACTGCGGCTGTGATTACATTGTAGCTTCACATAAAAGTTTCGACAAAATTGTTAGAAATGAACGAATTAAAAGAATTAATTTCGAAGATGTAGTAAGAAGAATCCGATGGTTGACAGACAAAATCATCTCATTTCAACTACAATGATGCTGAGATATTTGCAAAACTCTGAAGGGCCGGTGTCAGCCTTCCCAGGGTATAACGCGTCCGCCACCACATCACGCGCGTCCTTCGCTTCGCCTTCCTTATTTCAATCCATTCTGAAGAACAGCTGTTTAGTGGCAATTTTAACGTCTCGAACATTCGCGATCATTTCTATAAAATCTATAGCTAAGTGCTTCACAATGAACTTTCTTATGTCATAATAATAAACATTTAGCTCAACTAAGTTCTTAACTAAATTGGAACACTTTCAATTCCAGCCTTCTTCTCGACGTCAAAAACGTCAGGATTAAATTTGTGGTCCTGGTAAGCGCCCAAAAATCGGTACCTTCAAGAAGGCATTAGAAGTTGGAACCACGGAACAAGTGTTATAAATTATCCATTAGTCACCGTATATAACAAAGAATGAGGCAATTTTAGTACTGTTTAACATAGTGTTAGTGCAAGTTCACTAGATATCAACGTATAACTCGGACGGACAAAAAAAGGAAAACTCGTCCAGCAATAAGACATGTATTAACGGCGGCTGGTTTGAACAAACAACGACATAATGAAAGTTCAACGAATGATTTGCACGATAACGTCGAGAGAAAGAAAAAGAGCAATGGAGCGTGAGAAAAGACAATATTAGTAAGTTTTATATTAGATTTAAAAAAAAGCAAGCGATCTCAGTTCGTAATAAAACGAACATTCTCGGTTAATCATACCACGAAACTATGGCATGACAATTTCCGTCAATACATTCATTTACGATAGTTAGCCGATGAAAAAATCAATAATCGATTAATCAATGACCGATTCACTAACAGCTGATTAACTTTAAAATGACTGAAACCATCATTTGACGCCAATTTATAAGCTGTGTGATCTACCAGTGATCGATAGTCGTCATCTATAGACGAAAGTCTCTCATAATAAGTAGATAATAAGTATTTTTAAAACGATAATAAGCAATTTTTGACGAATTAATGAGCTACTGACAATGAGGATTTCCGTCAAGGATTCGGCCAGTTCGAGTATACTCGACTCATTCGACTTTCTAATGACTCTCCTTGTGATCGCGGCATTCGTTCAATGCTTTTCAAAATGTAAGTGTTCAAGTATTCGATTGGCGAAATTCGAGCGTAAGTGAAAAAGCCCAGATGTCATTTTGAATGTTTCCGTTGATGGTGGGAAGATATAATAAAAGTAAAATTGCAAATCCGTAGGCGGGTAGCGCAATGCTATTGATAGCGACCATCACCTGCAAGGTGCTGCTTCGATTCCGCACAAGGGTTTTCAAGCCTCTCAACCTCCCAGAGTTAGGCATTGGCGTTAGAGTTGTCTGGGAAAAGTTCACTTTGTGTAATCACTAGGACGCGTGTGGAGCAGTGGCTGAAAACGCCGCTGCGACACACGTGGAATTAATTTCCGCACCCATGGTCCACCAAACCCTCTATCTCCTGCGGAATCCGCAAATTGGTGCCAGACTTGCCTGGGAGGATAGCAGCACTGGCTCAATATATCGGTAGGCTACCGCGGGTCATTGTAAAGGCCAGATATGCATTCAATCACCTCCAAACGATG